GCAGGCAAAGCCAGGGAAAGCTTTGTTGAGCAGGAGTTATGAAACAGGCACCATGACCAAATGGTTTTACATGAATACTGGTGGCAGGGAAGAAAAAACCAAAACAATCAACCCCAACAAATTACACAGATTAAATACCAGTCAGATATCTTGGACTTGGCAGAACTGAGGTAGTAATTTTGACTCTTAACACCAGGACATAAATTTGGTGGAAGTGATAGCACACTACATCAGTATGGAGTATCTGTTACATGGCTGAGGTTAAAAAGGTTATAGGTTAAAAAGGTTATAGGTTAAAAAGGTTATAGGTTAAAAAGGTTATAGGTTAAAAATGAGGGACTTGAATTAATCTCCCCAGCTTGAGCAAATTTTACAAGATGTAATAGGGTATTTAAATTTTTAGATGCTATAAGAGATGACTTTCTTGAAGGAGAGCTGTAGGAGAAATATTCTTGGCATAGTCTTGAATTATGCACAAGGCCTGCTTCAGGATTCAACTATCACAGTCCATAAGGTTGGCACACTCCAGATCCTTGTTTGAGCAGGAAACCTGAAACAATATTCAACCTCAAATCCAGAAGAAAACAAACAGTTTAAAAGGAAATGAAGTCTTTAGAGGCAACATAATGTCCTTAAATTACTTAAATGTTCAGGCTAGAGGTGTGCCAGTCAGCAAGATCAGTAACAGCTAGCGCAGTTAGATGAGACTGAGTTAGGCCGTTAGAAGAAAATACATCCTTCTTTCAAGAAGACACATCTAAACAAGAGAGAAAAAGGTGATAATTGAAATATACATGTAATAAATAAATAAATAAATACATCACAAAGGACCAAGAAGTACCTGTGAGGAGTAACTTACTAAAGGCCTATGAGAAAGTATCTTTTTCAAGTACATCAAACACACTTGCCCATCTGCAGGGAGACAAAGCCCTGGCAGCCGGACTGAAGGGCTCTGGGTGGAGCTGCGGAAAGAGGTTCTTGCATCAGAGCTACAAGTCCAGCTCAAATGTGTATGTACATATATGTGCACGTGTACATTAATAGAAGAGACTTAGCACCCAAAACAAAAGGGCAAAACTCCTCAACTATTACCTGTGATGCATAACCAAATTTACCTCTAGCAAAAGCTTGCAATTCTGACCGGTTTTTAGAAGGAATTTAGGGAGACTGGGAGATCCATGGAAGTAGTAACAGTAGGTTTGACTTCTTTATCAGCATGCACCGTAAGAAATGATAGAAACAGTAGAGGTGCCTGTAGGGGCAGAGGCAGCACCTATTGTGGAGATAAAACTCAGATGTGAGGGAATACTTTGAAGGAGCAAACAAGTATAGCAAAGACAGCAACTGAGACCAGGCAATGTCTCTTTGGATTGCCAAAATATTTGGCACAGCTCTAGAAAAAGCTCAGGGGTAGTACCAACATTGCTCAGCTTTCATAAAATGGGTATCTTAAAACAATTGAATGACTTTAAATAAAAAAATTCTCTTCAAAGAGTCACAGAGCACAGAGTACATTGTTGTAAAACAATTCTATGTGCTACCTAGGAAAAAAGTATACATACAGGGAAACTGAACTCAACCCCAGTTCTCTTAAGTTTAGGGGAGTTGCCAAATGTTAGGGAATACGTCAGAGGGCAAACAACACATGGCACTATTAGAAAACTGGGAGCCTGCAACAAGTGACCCTGAATTGTATGACAGCACAGTGGTGGGATGACTTCACTTGATGAAATTATTCAACAGCCAAATTTTTGAGATAAACCCCACATTTTTCACACTGCACCCAACGTAATAGATAAGTCTTTAGAGACAGAGGGCACAGGCAGACTTCAGAGCAGGCAGCCACAGTTTCAACCAGAGCTCCTGCTTTCTGGGGTCTGACCTGCCCCCACCTTACGATGCCCCCACACTGCAGCCTGCTGGGTGAGACACAGGGCTCTTCTTACCATCCTCTGCCTGCATGGCTTGTGCTGGTCACCAGCAGTACCACACAGGTCATGGACACGACCCTGGACCGCCACCCTTCTCTGGGCACTTCACTCGACCAATACGCGTCAATTCAAATTTCACATCTTTTAATTTTCGTTCTTGAGTTTTCAAGCAAATACAATGAGCTCAGGAGATCCAATCTGAAGACATGAATATGATGTTAAAGAAAAACTCAGAGTCCAATATATTAAGCATACTTATTTACTTAATCTATACAGAATCGAGTAGATAAAATTTCAGATTCACATTAGTGAAAAATCTCTACAAAATGTTTTTGAAAAGCAAAACAAAGACTGCCTGTTCATTTTTCATTTTTCCTCATGAAAGCAGACATGGGTTGTAAAAATAAAGCAGTGTGTTTAGCACAAACTAGATTTCTGCATCACTTTTTTCACAGTTATTTCCATCTACAGTCCAAAGAGGTAGATTTTCTGCAACACCTGAGAATTGAACTGTAACGTAACCAGGTGTAATGAAAGGAAGGACAAAACGTCAGAGATGCAGCCCTAACTAACTTGTGTCTGGATACATGTATTTGGGTCTTGCATCACATGTAATTTAGCTTTTTGCAGCTTAATCGTGGTGAAACTCTCAATCAGGCCCTAAAGTTTTGACGAGACGTTACTCACTTCAGGCTACATCAGTTTACAGCCCGGCTTAAACAGTTTGTGGTAGTGGGAGAAAGGCATTAATACAAGTTTACTTAAAAACCCTCCTGGAGCCAATTTGGCTGCAGACTGGCAGTGCAATAGCCTGCTGTATGGCAGATCTGTTTTTAAAAGAGTGCTGAGCTTATCCCTTACAAGATTTTTATTTTATTTTTCTTTCTTTTTTTTTTTTAAGAATGCTCCTTAAGCAATGCATGAAACTGTCTTGACTGGTTTCAGGAAGCAAAGTGTAGCTCACCTTGGCCAGATAAGTTGATATGATATGGGTATATCAAGGGTAGGAAAGAGAAAAAATGTCCCCTTTTTAAAAACCTTTCACTTGGGGCGTTCTGCTTCATTTACACATTAAGTCAGTAACAAATATATTTGTATTGCTGTTCTATACATCTGTCATGTCTCTAAAAGCCCTTTAAAATATTCTTGCAGCAGGGTCCAAAAATTTACTCTTGCCTCCATATAGAACAAGCACACTAGGAAGAATTGTGAAAGATACAAATGTCCAAATAATAAATTGCAAAAATAGAAAACTGCATGTCCTACCTTGCCAAGGGTACAATGCATCAGATACAAAGTTTTTCACTTTTCCTCAGGAAAATTACTTCATGCTTAGTGTTAGCCGAAAACCAGTTCTCGCAACAACTATTTTTAAACAGTTTGATTCTATAAAGCAAGTCATTTGAAAAGCAAGTCTGAAATACTTCTTTCCAGTCTATTTTATGCCAAATGGTCAGCATGATTAACATTTCAGAGCTCCGAATCTGACTTGACTGACTGCTCATCGCTACCTTCTCTTCATTCCTGCCTTGTGCTTGGCCCACAACCCCCAAACCCGCACAAACCTAGCAGAAAGACAGCCAGCTTCCTATTTGCTCCACCATTTAAGAAATGTCAGTTTTGCACAGTTCCTCTCAGTGGTATGAGCTAAAACACATTTATCAGGCCTCACCTAACCTCACTTTCTTTCAGAGAGAGCTACATTATTTCAATCTACATCACTACAGGAAAAGGACCAGGAGTTCAGTGCAGCCTGAACATTCAAGTAATTTAGCCACTAAACTGTCACGGGCAACGAGGGTGGGAAGCTCATTGAGAGATGTGCTTGATTCAGAAATCCCCTCCCAAGTAAGTGCAAAGAACTTTAAGTACCAGAAAAGGCTACACATGTTCGTATTTCTTCAAACGACAGCAACCAAAACTAAAAGGTAAATACATGGGAAGAACTAAAGTTAAGGGCAGCTTGTAGTTATTTCACACCTTGTCTTGCCAAAAAAAACCCAAAAAAACCCAACAAAACCCCACATTGGTCCTAATTTCTCTCAGGAAAAGAAGTCGAAATGTGGATATCAAGTTTTCTAGGAAAAAAGACTACAAGGTTGAAAGTTAACAAGGGAGCTTTGCCTGTGGTATGTCAGCCTAAGAATCTGAAGTACCATCTTCACCAGATAACCTAACTGGGAAGGCACTCTGCCAACTGGTACAGCCTCAAGGTTGAGTTTGCAAGAAATTCCATGTACTTCAGGAGAAGTACTCAAATCTATGTGTTCAATTATAACCAGTACCCACTTCACTAATGCTGAACTACGTTGCATACAAGGCTAGCAGAGAAAGCCTACGTGCCACAGACTCCTGTCTTCCACACCTCTGTCAGTAAGTGCCTATTTTCCAGCCCTTCAGATAACCCAGAGATTTGTCTAGACAGGAATGGGTTTCTCCAGTCAGGATAACCATGTGATGGACACACTGCACCTAACAGGGAAGAACGTAACCAACACCCATGCAATAGCCTACACAACTGCAAAATTCCACTCGGTAACGTTGCTGTACGTTTTCTCACACATTTATATCTAACATGTTCACAGGTAGGGCGAATAGTCCAAACTAACCTTTACAACACAACCCTGAGAAGTCTGCAAAAAGTTGTGCACCCTGTTTCACCAGCTGCAAATGAATGGATTTCAAAGCTGTTCTTTTCATACCACAAAGTACATAAAACCCTTTCAACGTATCTTTTACTGTATTCTGGACCTTTACTTTTTCATTCGTATATGTATGAAAACATACTAGAGGGGACAGCTGATATTTTTTTACTGGCCATAAGACATCATTATGTAGATAAATTTACTGAAATTTGGTAATCTTTAGTATTCTGAGTGGCAAATCAATGAACAAAACCAAAATGCTGTTCTTTAATCCAAAAAAGTGGCATGCCGCCACTATTTCCCCAGAACGATGTTATATCTGTACACAGTCTTCCATGACAGTGATTTGTGTTGTGGGGAGGAAAAGCACATGCATCCTTTTATGGAAAAATATTTTTCTTTTAAAAAATGAGGCAGATGTGCAACACAGTCGTGGAAAATTTATAGTTTAAGCTATTTAAAGCTGCTACGCAGCTTCCTGTACCACATAAGTCCAGTAGTTCTAAGAAAATACAGATATGGTAGAAAAAGTAAGAAAATTTTCACCACAAAACCAAATAGTTACCACCAACAGAGAAAGTTATACACAAAATATAGCTCTCAATACAGTGTTTACACTTCATTTTAATCTACAGATTCAGTGCCAGGAACAGGACTTGTCGAGCCAGTCTTTTCGGAACCATTTGCCGCACACGACTCCACGTGGGGTTGGATCCCTGGTTCTGTGTCAGTGGCAGTTCCCAGCTCCTCGTGGGAATGGAGCGTGCAGGTCTGCAACACCTGCACAGCCAGATCCACGTCTGCTTCTCTGAGCGAAACCTGCTCCTTCAGGACTTCCACCTTCTCGTTCAGCTCGTTCCTTTCTGTCTGAAGGGCCCTGCATAGCTTCTCCAAGCGCTCCAGTTTTATTTGGAAGCCCTTGTATTCTTTATCTCTTACAGTTTTCTGAAGAACAAAAGAAAATAAAAACTGTGATCCAACTGATTTTTTTTTATTATTAATGAAAAGAATCATCACTATTTAATCCTGAACATTAAGTCTTAACCCAGTAGGTCAAATTCCAGCTGCACTAGAGCTAATTTGCTCAGCACACTTGACACTACACTCCAGATGGCTTGTCTAAGCTGGAGTGGCAACAGGCACCTTTAGGAACAAGCAACGAGAACTGTGTAACTCCATAACGCTATCTGTAAGTGAGGGATGGTATTAGTGAGGACCCCGATATGAAGTCCCATAAAACAGTCAATTACAGCCCAAATAATGGCAGCTATAGGGAGCAGAAGGCATACAAGTGGGAAATCTACAATCCAGCAGCAGAATCCAGGTCAGAAGGTCTCTCCTGGCTCTCCTAGCTCCTTAGAAGAACAGAGAGAGGTAAGCAGTGCTATAGCAGAACCTGTACAATCCAGCATGGCTTAGCAAGATTGTACCTAATAGACTTGGAAGTAGAGATTCGACAGCGTAGGCAGAACTGCATGCCTATGGCCTGCGTGAAAACTGTTTTAGCTCCTCTCTTGCTGGACTACAATTAAGTAATGGCACTTCATGACCTCAAAAGCAGCTACAATGCAGTAAAATATCTGATCCCTTACACACAGCTCATTTCCTTCACGTCAGCCTTGTATATTTAAAATAATTTCTATTGCAGCACTGATTAAACTTGGCTCAGCATATTAAAATAGAGTCAATTCATTCAGCTTGTATAATTTCATACACATTACCCCACAAACTAAACTGCAAGCAAGGAAAGAATAAGCTGAATTTTTTATGTAATGAGCTTAGATTTATAAAGCAGCTTCTTACTTTCCATGTCCAAGGAGAATACTACTGTTACACAACAGAAAACATAAGGCAGACAATCCAAGAAGAGGCTCCTGTGTATTATTTCTGTGTTTAATTCTCTAAAACTAAAAAAAACTGTATGAAGGTCTCTAGGATACAGAATCTAGGTTAGCCATACTGCTGCTTAAAAGAAAATTACCTCTTCAGCCATTTGCAGAAGAGCCTTGTTGTTGTTTTCCCATTTTGTACGCCACACTATGGTTTCCTTTTCCAGTTTCTTAATCTTCTTCGTCATCTACAAAAGGTAAAGATTAAATTTTGTGGCTTGCATTGCAATGTACGTAGGTTTAAATGAGTAATGTAAATTACACAAGTGATGACGACTTAGTGTTACTTGCCAAGTCCAGTCTGAACAATTTATTTTACAGAAAAGTCTTTCTGCACAAAATCAACCCCACAAATACAGATTCTCCTTTCCAGGAAAACAAGATTGATTCTCAAAAGAAAGAGACTAGCAACCTTCAAGTACAACTAAGAAAAAAGGTTTAGGAAAGTAAGTTTTAAAACACAAGCACAGCCAAAAAGACTGGGAAGTACTGCATGCCTTTAATAAAACACTGAAATTGGGATTTAGATACTATGCAAGTATGTGGAAAAGCAGAAAAAATTACATTTCTTTCCATAATATAACTTATGATCCAAATTAATTGTCAAAATACTCCACGTATTTTCAGAAGACAATGTTATAAAATCTAAAATGCATTCCACTAAGAGCATGCATTTTTATATTACTTTTTATGAAACTCTAAGTAATGCTGTACATACCTTCTCCATTTCTTGCCTGAAGGTTGTAAAGAGTTCATTACTTTTCGCCATGGTGGTCTGGAATTCTTCAAATTTATCCATGTAAAGAGAAAGCTGTTGGGAAACAGGCAGGAACATTAATCTGAACAGCTATATACAAATACAAAAATATTAAGGTAAAGATAAAATTAAACTTAAAATAGTAGAAGATTAACTTCTTTTTATATAGATATATATATATTTTACTATCCTATGATTTCCATTCAAGAAGCATGCAGACCTTGTCTGAAAATATGCTATTCAAATGACATATGAAAGGAGACTTGTATGTTTATAGAACAGTAATATAAAGAAAAAAGGATATTATGTTTAATAAAATGTTGGAAGACATCACAGTTCATCACAATCTGATTTTTCCTTCCCACTAACAAAAAAAGAGTCTGCAGACTTGACTATACAGGAAATTCAGCACATAGTTAGTGAAATTAAACTCAAAAAGACCTACCTTTCCACATTAACCAGCCAAAACTAACAAGTAAGGCTGTGACAAAATAAACAAGACTTATTTCAGAAGTCCACATTCACAACCTATGAAATCTGCCCAGTGAGCAAAAATCACAGAAAGTGAACACTGACAAGGAATTAATTTAATAGTGAAAAACATTACCATTTAACACGTGAAGAGCATTAGCATTTGATGACAGAAAATTTTCTTGCCCTGCACCATAGGGTCAGTCATCAGAAAGAAATTGCAAAGGATTAATTAACATCGTTTTTCACCAAAAAAGCATTACGTTTCTTATTAAAACAAGTTACACTATTAGTGTTGTGATTTCATGTTCTGAGAATACACGACCATTTAATAATAACCTCTTACTCCATCTGAAGAATAATCAGTTCTCTCAATTCTTACATTGGGGGTTGCAGGACAATACAATTTAGACCACAAAAATATTGTATTTTCCTCTAACAGTACAGGAAATTTCATAACAGAAATTAGCCTACCTTGTCAACAGTAGATAATGACACTCTGCCACTACTGTGACTGAACTTTCTAGCTCATCTTATTCTACAAAAAAAAAGTTTGCCCCAGGAAACCACAAACCTTACCCATTGTTACTATTAAAAAGCCTAACAAAAAGGCAGTGGGATTTTTAAGTAGAAAGTAACCAACTTGGGAAAAAAGTCATAAAAGACTAAGTTCAGAAAAAAAAACCCAACTATTTAGGACAATCTGGATATTAATGAGTCCAAGTCATTGGACACCACAAGGGGAGAGGGTGAGTGTGTGTGTGTATGTGATTGTATTTAAATACACACAAATACTTTAAATATAACTGATGGAAAGCCTGGAAAAGAATTAGGTACAGTAAAGTGTGAAAAAAAAGGGCAAGAAACAAGGAAACTTAATATAAAGCCTCCCAAAATGGAAGCAATGAGAGGTATACTACGAAAGGACTGGCTACTGTGACTCAGATGCTATGATTTTAGCTGAACTCACGTGTGGCCAATGACTGCAGGTCCAGAACTGCAGCACAAAAACTGGGGACCATCTCTCCACTCTCACGGAGTGCTTTGCTACAGCATTTACAGCAAGAAAACAATTTGAAGACAGTAATGCTTTTGTGGTCAGAGACACTCAGTTTTAGGTTACTAAACCTGAATAACTACAAGGATAAACATGATATTACTTGCTCCTAATCCTCCACAATAGGAGGCGATGGAAACGGTAATGAACAAATTCTTAAACCTGCATGGGTAAAAATCCCCACCCAACTCCTTAAGAGTCACAAGGGCCTCTCTGGTACTCAACAACTACAAAAAAGATTAAAATACCTTTGGAAGAGAGGACAGCAGTTACAGAGAAGCCAAGGGTAAAGAAGTAGCCATAATGAACAGATTATTAAGATTTCACGTATTCTAATCTTTGTAATATTAATGCTCTTAATTTAATTTAAAAGTCCAGCAATTCAGTGTTTAGCAACTTCCAGTAACAGTAGTCTCCAGATGTACTAAACAGCAAGTACAAAATGTCAAGTCTTTACAGTTTATGCTTCACTACTGATGAGTTACCTACTGGAAATTAAATTCAAGACTAAATCAAAAAAATACCAAGTACTTTTCACAAGTAATATATTGCATCTGATGAATCATAACACGTGAGGGCTTTTTTCATATGTTGTGTTATGCCCACTACAACCGCAAATCTCTTTGTATTTTTGTTTTTTTCCAGAACAACTGTTATGGAAGAGCACTCTATTAAAAAAATACCTGCTGCTTCAGCTGAGCTTCCTGTTGCTTCATCTGTTCACATTTGTGTCTGGACTCAGTAGCTTCTTTTAGCAGCTAAAAAAATAATGCAAAAAAGCCACATAATGAAGGAAGTTCTAAATAACTCGATCTATGATGAAAAACGAACAGAGGTTAACATCACCTCAGAGCCATTCAACCACGTTCTCTCACATATCTTTGTTTCAGTACTATACTATACTTTCACATATCCAATTTAAAGCATGTGCTGGCATGCAGAGATGATTTTTAGAGACATTTTTCTAATTGGTAGCATGAGTCAATGTTTCTATTTCTGTAGAAAGTTCAAACTGCTAAATTTATATCAGCAGTTCATTAAGTAACTGTATGTAATTTATAACTGTTTTGTAACCTCTCTAATTTATTTTCCACCTCCATTTCTCCAGTCACTAGTATCACCTTTACAGACTAGTTCAATTTTGCTTCAGCTTGACACCACTTTGTAGATTCAACTTTGAAGAGATTTTTCATCGACTTATGATTCCAAAATTGTTTTCATAATACAGAACTATTCAATACTGGATGATCATTTTAAGATTATAGACACAAAGCAGGGCTTTTGCCTAGAAGTTAGACACATAAGGAACACACACAAAAAAATCTTTACATAGGTGTTATTTTTTAACTGGAAGCTACCTTCTTGGAAGACTGCAAGTAAATTGCTGATTACCATCATGCAATTAAAACATCAGGCATAGTTCTGGGGAGACAGTTCAGAAGAGCGCATGCTTATTCTGCATTAAAATCAGAAATTACGACTACAAGATAGCAAGCAAGTACCTTCCATGTTTCAACTCAAGACATTTCCCAGTCCAAGAAAAATCTAAATTATATCCAGCACATATGCTGAGAAAATGCAAACAGTAACATTACTTGCCTGTGAATATGGACATAAATATTGTAGGCATCATACGCACACACATAAAACTTAAATCTCAGTCTTGATGTTGAAATCTATCCTAATTTTCAAAAGACAGTTCCCTCAGTTTGCAGTATTTGCTTTAAATAATGAAAAAACTGGTTTGGTGGGTTTTGTTATTTCTCTTAACATACATAGAATTAACTTACAAACTCCCTTTCTCGCTGATGTTTCTCCTCTGCTTCTTTAATAAGTCGGGTAGTTTGCTGAAGTTTGGCATCCACAAGTTGCTGCTGCAGTTCTTTATGTTTGAACACTTTATCAATATGCTAAAGGAAGAAAGAAAATTATATTAGTCAAATATAAAGAGTGACTGTCAATTATGTGTATGCGTATGGGGAGATGCATATTGTTTAGAGGTTGCATGCAAAAGAAAAAAACACCAAAAGACTGTTCTAAATGTTGGGTTTTTTATCTCCCATTATTGCCATACACAATGGGTACATGGTTTTTTGTCTTTCACAGAAGCCAGATGCATATTTTGTTAAACTCGTACAATAATGTCAGTCACTTGACACTAGGCACTTCAAAAATCCTTTAACAAATGGTCTACATCCTTTCTTCTAAAGTTGGCATACCTACCTTGAATCACAGAATCACAGAACATTAGGGA